AGGTGATGGCTCTCGTTGTAGAGGTGTATAGTCGGGTCGATCAGGTGATGGCTCTGGGTGAGGTGATGGCTCTCGAAGTGGAGGAAGTGGAGGCTGCTCATCATTCGTGCCATCAAGAAAACGCTGACTGGATTGCCACCAATCAGTGGCAAGCTCAGCCTCCGTGGGTGTCAGTCTCATTAATGGAATGTTGGCCTCCTAAAAATATAAAAACTCAAACAAAGTTAAACGTCTACTATTAATAACTTGTTTATATATGATAGTATTTGTGTTAACTTACATTATTTATTATCGCATATGGTATTAAGTCTTCCCAATCCAACAGACGTTTCCTCTTCTAGGAAATAGCCCTGGGAATATCATTTGAAGTTTTTATTGCATATGTCTTCATGGCGGGAAAGGCCTCGAATATCCAAATCTACAAACAATATAATAACAAACATTAGTAATTGTTAAATAATTAATTATAATTTTGAAAACATTATATAGAAATTCTTACCTTAAAGGCCCAAACAAAGCCTGACAAAGTGTATTTCGACCCATCGCCCCGCAAACTTTTGCGGTCATCAAAGGCAGACGACAACTTAGTCCAGGTAGCTTTCCATATATACGAACCCCACGGAAACAGATTCCATGCATTTAGGTCCTCTACCAATAATATTAGCTCCTGAGGAATAGGTTGTCTAGCCTCTCTGCCTAAAAAGCCGGCATACAAAAGTAGTAGAAGGCATACTCGGACAACATCGACGTCATTCATCCGAGTAAAACCATCTTTTTTATTAAACAATTTCTTCATGTCGTCGACGTGTAAGTTCGGCTTCTCTATTGACTCATCAGGAAAAACCCTGGATAACCATGATGGGCGGGTGATATGACGAGTGTACCGGCCTACATCATCGTGTCCGAATCGTAGACCAGTGATTAAGCAGAACTCCTTCCGCCCAAAACAAGTATACGCCGGTAGAAAATGAAACCATATCTCTTCCTCACCACGTTGTATACTGTCGGGTAGATCGCTAGTCATGGTCTGAAGCCACAAATAGGTCAAACTAGCATCTTCACCCGGATACTGTACTCTCAGCCATGGCCCGAAGCAGGTTTCTTCAAACAATTTTCTTTGTGCAGGTGAAAGCTTCGAAGCAATTGTAGTGGCTAGGCTAACTTTATTCCTTAATGTCAATGAAGCCGAAAAAAATTTCTACAAAAAAACAATAAACATACCAAGTTAGATATACCAAAAACTACACTGTCAAGATATACCAAAAACAAAACAATAAACATAAATAGTAGTTTATTCTTGAAACTAAAATTTGCAACACTGTTTTTGTCTTTTGGTTGAAATGAAAATCGCAACGAGATAATTAGAATCGCAACGCGGAAATGACTATCGCAACGAGAGAATCGCAATGCGAAATGACTATCGCGACCAGACAATCGCAACGCGAAATGAAAATCGCAACCGCGAAATAAAAATCGCAACGCGAAATGAAAATCGTAATACGATTTTTGTTTCGCGTTGTGTTTTTTATTTCGCGTTGCGATTCTCTCGTTGCGATAGTTATTTCCGCGTTGCGATTTTCATTCTCGAAACTATTCTTCTTCTGCATTACTTCAACCAAAAGACAAAACAAAGACAAATATTAACTTCACAGGCTAAACAGTTTAGCAGTATTGGCAGCAATCGAATGAATTTAATAAGAAATCTAAGTGAAATGGTTAATCTATTATTGAAATTACCAGTAAACTTATCATCAATCTCAATATGAAAAACCTAAAATAATGCAAAAATTTCAAAATAAAAATAAAAAAAACTAACCCTCGGAGGTTGATTTTCCATTTCTGAATGATTGTGAGGGATTTTTGACTGTGAATGGTTGTGAGGGATTTCGCCGGCGATGGGGACGGAAATCTTCGGAGATGGGGATGAATTTCGCCGTAGAGAGTGAGAGATGGAGATGGGACTGAGTGTTGTGATTTTGGGTTTGAGGTTATAAGTTGCGATTACTGTGGACGGTTCAGTTTCCGATTTATTAAGAAAAAATTCATGTTTGGAATTTGAAAAAAAAATACGCGTTAATACGAATGGCGCTATGTAAATCGCGTTGCGAAAGTTAGAATCACGTTGCGAAAGTCAGTATCTCATTGCGATTTTGTATTATCGCATTGCGATAGTAAGTATTGCATTGCGATAGTCAGTATCGCATTGCGATTTTCCCAATTCGCGTTGCGATTTACTTATTCGCATTGCGAATTGGGAAAATCGCAACGACACTGTATACCATCGCAACGCGATTTCCAACTATCGCAACGCGAAATGCAACGCGAATTTGCGATAATGGAGATCGCGTTGCGAATTAGCGATCGCATTGCGATTTTGTTGGTCATTTTGGCAAATCCGGAAAAAGTTGGTTAAAATCGTATATTATATGGGATTTTTGGTCACTGAGGTTATTTTCTCTTTTAGTAATAGACAAACCATTACCGTTGCCTACAGTCAGCTTACCAGCCCTTGTATAATCTGAGCCATCCACTAGTTCTGTGACATCAGGCGTAATATGATGTGTCGCCCCTGAATCAACAATTCACGAACCAAGAGTTGAACTCGTAGCAGCCACATTTACAATAGGCTTGAACCGTTCTTGATCGTTGAGCCCAGCTGCACCTCCATCTGGTCTACTCACACACGAACACTTATTAGAATTGTAATGACAAACATTAGCTGTGGGTACTCGTTCCTTAAATGAGCTCCTTGAGTCAGAACTCCTCATATCAGATTCATCCACACCTGAGATCGACTTATCGAACCTGTACCAACACCTATTCACAAGGTGACAATTCTTGCCACACAACTGGCACTGCATCTTGACACGCCCTCAACCACGACCAGCTTGACCATTATAGGTAACTTGACACCTATTCACTTATTAGAATTGTAATGAAAAACATTAGCTGTGGGTACTCGTTCCTTAAACGAGCTCCTTGAGTCAAAACTCCTCATATCAGATTCATCCACACCTGAGAACGACTTATCGAACCTGTACCAACACCTATTCACAAGGTGACAATTCTTGCCACACAACTGGTACTGCATCTTTACAAGCCCTCAACCACGACCAGCTTGATCATTATAGGCAACCTGTCTCTCTGATGCAGTCTGATCTTGTCTAGCAAATCGAGCAATTCTTTCATTCATGGACGCTTTTACTTGAACAACATTAGCTGCAGCTGTAATGTTGTCAAACCTACTAAAGTTTATTTGTTGAGTCTCAGCATCAACGAGGACAGACACGAACCCCTTCTAGAGTTAAGGCATCACAGCTAGCTGAAAGTACAGTCACCACCGGCATGTATTCAACTGACATCCCATTCAGTATAGTTGCAATGTGCTCCAGCTTCGACACTGGACTACCGTACGACGCTAAGGCATCACATATCTCTTTAACTTGATATATGTAGCCCCGCATTCCTAGTTCTCCTTGATGAACTGCTTTAAGCTGATAATACAGGTTCATTACCGCCATCACATACATATAGGCGAATATTTTATTTACAGTGTTCCAGACCTGCGCAGTAAATTCAGCCCCCACTAAATGTGGCAAAAGAGACGGACTGATCGTAGATAGTAGCCATGAGGCCAATGCACTGTCTTGGGCTACAAAGATCTTATGATCCTCATTTTCAGTAACTGTGCCATCCTCAAGCACAACCGTGGCAGGTGGAGAAATAGCCATCCCAGAAAGCAATTTCTCCAGCCGATGACTCCTGACCGTTAGCAACACCTGCTGTTTCCACAACAGAAAATTCCGTTCATCGAGCACAACACTCAATCGTTTATTAGTAAAGCTCTTGGAAGTAGTTATCGAATGCTCAGAACTGCTCACAACATCGCCGGAAAGAGGAGAAGCCGGAAGCGCCATAAAGCCACCGTGCACTCAGCAAGAACCTGACGCAGTTCTTCCTACACCACGAGATCACCAGCATCTGATACCATGTTGAAGTTTATGCACAAGAGTCTTGAAGATTATCAAGAAGATACAAAACGTGTATGTTAACCAATACTACTCAGTACATTTATACACAGGCTTACAACCTTAACAACCTCATAACTGCTCCTAACCATTCTAACGAACTAACCAACTGCACACTAACAGCTTGCACACACACACTTCAAGCCATACTGCACACACGCACATAAGCATGTAGTCATGCTTCAACACTAATGATGATGATGATGATGATTATTATTATTATTATTGTGATCTTCACTTTAGTCACAATTATATATTTTCTCAAATTTAATATAAAATTACATATTCTTTAATGATGTTAGATCCCACCTAGACAACGAAGAAAAATACAGAGCCACTTGATTAGGAAAATTAATTGATTAATCCCCAACAATAAACCACTCTTTAATAGCCACGTGTTAATTAAACGAGTCAGACTTTAACATGCACTCCTTCTTGCATACCGCATGAATTCTCTATTTTTTTAAAGAACTTTTTTAATTATTGATAAAACATGTGAGGATGGAGATTTCGAATGAGAATTTCAATTAAAGAGGGACAAAATATAATTAATTATAAAGAATAAGAGGCAAATATAATTACCATAGAAAATAAGGAAAGTAAAATAAAAATTAAGAACTTTAATTTAAAATTTATCCATAGATTTTTTTCCTACTAATAAAAAATGGAAGTGTAGTGACACTGAAAATGTAACGGTTTAAATCTAAAAACTAAAAGATAATATTTTTTAAACATTAAAATCATTTAATAAATTTATTTTGAAATTTTTAATTTGTAATTACAAATCGAACCAAACCAAATCAAACCTACTCAGAGTTCCCCTTTTAGCCCTTTACCTGCCAGCCTGTCCCTTCAGATATTTCAATTTTCTTATTCTTAAGAAAAAACGCAATTGCCAAATCAACAAAATTATTAAATATGATTACTCGTTTTTTGTCCTCTTTTCGTCGTTGTTTCCTCCTCCCCTTCTATCCTCTTCTCATCCCTTCCCCTTTAATTTAACTCTTCGGTTCGGATCATTCTTTCCCTTCCTCGTATTCTCCCTTCTCTTTCAAAAAGCAAAGGTATTTTCTGTTTATATTTTTTGAATCTGCTTTGTTTTCATTTCTGTAAATTTTGGTTTTTGATCGTCTTTGTGTTTAGATCTTGCAGATATGATTCCAAAGGCAAATTAAAGGAAAAATATTCAGATTTCGAAGAAAGAGCAACGATGGCGGAGGAGCACAGATGCCAAGCACCGAAAGGCCACCATCTTTGCGTTAATAACTGCGGTTTCTTAGGAAGTCCGACTACCATGAATCTTTGCTCTAAATGTTACAGAGATTACCGTCTTAAAGAACAAGCTTCTTCTGCCAACTCTTCTATTTCTACCTCTCCTTCGCCTTCGTCAACAGTCGTCGAATCCGTTTGTCAGATACCTCTTCTGGCTCTCCCTGAAGTTGAAGGAGTATCACCGGTTTCGGCTGTCACGATTGTCCAACGGCGGCGGCAGCAGCAGCAACAACAACAGCCGCATCGGTGCATGGTTTGCAGGAAACGGGTCGGGTTGACGGGGTTCAAGTGCAAGTGTGGGATTACGTTTTGCGGGTCTAACAGGTACCCGGAGAATCACGGATGTACGTTCGATCTCAAGAGGGCTGGGAGAGAGGAGATCGCACGCGCTAATCCTGTTGTCAAAGCGGAGAAGCTCGTGAAGATTTGAGAAGATGGAAGCCGTTTGATCCTTTGACTTTTAATCAGTTAAAAAAATAGAAATGCCAAACTCGTTATGATCATGACACGTGTTTCGGTGATGGTCCCCACCTTTAAAAATTGGCTTTGGATAAAAATATTTTTATTTTATAAGTCTTCTATTTTTATAACCTTTCTTTAATAAATATTATATTTTATAATTTAATATTTTTATGCTTAAACCAATAACTCCCCATGCCCGACACCTCAAAGGAGAAAAAAAATTTGCAACGCCGTTGCGGGAGATCGAACCCGGGTCACCCTCGTGACAGGCGGAATACTTACCACTAAACAAAATCAACTCAGTTATATCAAATTTCAAAAATAAATATATTTAAAAGGTATCAAAAGTTCATACAACACCAATAAAATTTGCGGCGCAGTTGAGTTTGACCTCTATGACTTATAACTGTCATTTCTCTTCAGTAAGAAACTAAAAACTGTCTTCACTAAAATTGTTTTAATAAATGTTAAACTATGGCTTTTGTATATTTATTAGGTTCAAATTTTAGATTTATTTTTAGATTTTAATTTGATATAATTTAATCATTTTATTTTATAATGTCATCAGTTAATTTATATAATATATATCATTATTATTTTTATTAAAATAATATATAAATTAATTGACTAATAAATTAAATATCAGTAGATACATTCTAAATCAAATGTTGGATGTAAACTGTTCTTTAAAAAACTTTTTATAATGTTTAACTTATCATATTACATTCATTCTAATTAGTCACATATGAATATGTATATATTTATACTATTTGTTATATTTCTAAGTGAGTTGGTATCACAACTCAACTCGATACGTAGTTGAGAACATGTCAAAATAACCTTATTTATTAAGGAAGATACATAATATACTATGAATATTTCAAAATGAAGTTCCATGAAAACATAAAGATTAAATTCAATAGATTCATCATCATCGAGTTCAAGAGTTTTGAGAATTTTTATCACAATGAAGATATTGGAAGGAAGATTCTTTATTATTTACCAAAAACTTGGGAAGCAAAAAGATCATCATTATTATTTGGGTAAAGTATACAAATAGTCACTAAACTTTTCAAATGCTTGAATTTAGGTCCCTCAATTTTTAAATTTTGCAATTCAATCACCAAACATTTAGTTCGTTTGCAATATGGTCCTGACATAACGGCCGTTTCACTACCGTTAGGGTAAATTATATAAATTGTCACTGAACTTTTCAGGTGCTTGCATTTAGGTCACCCAACTCTTAAAACTTGCAACACAGTCATCAAGTATGTTTTAAACCCTAAATTCCAAAATATTTTAATTATATTCTAAACCTCAATTTCTAAAATACTTCAATTATATGCCCAACCCCAAATTCATAATCCATTCTCAAAATTTTCCATAACAAACTAAACTTGAAGTAGCAACCCTAAACCCTCCAAACACACATATATAAAGCTGACTATGATGCAATGTGCGGGCCAGAATTTACAGATATGCCTAATGTTGGTGATTACGGATTTAACGCATCAGTCAACGATGGTGAGTTATATAAAGGAATGAAGTTTCCATGCAAAGAAGAAGCGATGATGGCAATTAAGAATTACAACATTCGTTTGTGGATCTCGTCAAGACATCGGTTCAACATGCTTTGCTCGTATACCTGTCAAGACTATAACCATTTTGTGGATCTTGTATACTGACTTTCAGAAGTGTTTAAGGTATATAAATTTGAGTTCCCCCATAGGTAATGACAAAGACCCTGATGAGGTTCAAAATTGGCTTTTGATTGTACCAGATCCGTCCTTATTGAAGGAGCCCGGTCGTCCAAAATCCACTTGAATTCATTGTGATATGGATACTCGGGAGACATCTAGAGAAAACAAAAGATGTGGGCATTGTAGAAACCTAGGACACAATAGAAAAAATGTTCATCTCTTTTGTCATCAAGTAATCGTTGATGTTGTGATTGATGTAGTTGTTGTTTATGAAATCTAAGTTTATGTTATTTAATTTTCATTTACTTTCAGTTATTGTCATTTGAGCATTACCGATTAATTGTCAACTAAAGAAATTAAATAATAAAAACAATTTGAACAAACTAAAAAACAAAAAAATGATACAACTAAAAAAAAACTAAATAATAAAAATAATTCGAACAATTAAATAATACAAAAATTAAGAAACAAAATAAAAAAGTCCATAATTAAATAAAAACTTTACAATTGTTGATAAACAAACAAAATTAAATAAAAACATAACAAAGCAAACAATTATATCGATGCTGGCGTCTTGAATGTGTTCCGCGGGGCGATGTATGTCTGTGTCGATGAGGATTTCTTTGTATAACTTGTTCTGCCTACTAACTCTCATCATCATCGTCATCATCATCATCAAGAGCAAATACATTTTGTTGATGAGCGACGACTAACGATGTAGCACCTCCATAGAATAAGAACCCTGGAGGTGTATGGCTGACTATCCCACCGCTCACAGAAAACTATGAAAACTGCGAAAAGACTGACATCGATGAGTGTAAAAACTGCACCAAAAGTGTCTGTGCATGTGTTGTAGCTTCACCCGCCAAACAACCAGCATATGAACGTCAAGTTGGATATGCAAGCATAGAAGTATAACATCCACCATGAGGGGTCATAAAACTCTGCGGTGGTGGCAGCATTTGGTATGGAAGTGGTGGCGTCTGACCCGGCTACAGTGGTATAAGAAATTACTACAGTACCATCTAATATGGCTGTGGTGCCATCTGAAATGACTACGAAATGTATAGCGGTGTAGACGATGACTGCTGTGATGGTTCCGGTGTTACAACTGAGTATGAGCCGAAAGTGCCTACTCTTCGTCCATGAGTCGAGGGATGATGATGTTGTCATAGTGGAAGTCTTTCTCGACGTCGATGAATGCTCCCGCCTCTTGCTTCCTCGAAAAGTAGGAACGGTTTCCCGTTTGTGTTGAACCACTCATAATAATCATCTATAACCGAGTAATGATCCACATAGATGGGTTCTGTATGGGGAATGCACTCACGTCGATCCTCCCATATCATAACCCACTCAATGTGCTTCAACAAGCAATCGACTTCTTTTTTACCACGTCTATCGATGATATGCAAATTGTTGAGATTCTTAGGTGCTTCTAGAATAGATTGTACAAAACCAAATTGGCGGAGTACGAATCAGTAGGATGTCACTCGACAATAGCATAACATATTAGAGAGACCACCGCCATCTAAACATCTAATGGGTTTCTTAAGTGATGTGGGATGCAAATCCTTATTTCTTTAATAGAATAAGGAGCCCATTGAAACTAAAACAAATATATATAATTCTTATCAAAATAATATTCTAATTATATAATGATAATTAAAATTTTATAATAATAATTAAATACATACCTCTGTACCAACCTTTTAATCAATGAGTAGCTTAATTTCTACTTATTCATCAGGTAAATCCTGATGATTTTTTCTTACACTTGACCACCTATTCAATGAAATAATTTTCATTATATATGTTGAGTTAATCGATTGATGGAATCGGCCAAGAAGGGGGTAAATTGGCAATTAAAAATTTGGTGGAAGCTTTTGAAGAAAATTAAAAAGATTTGCACAGCGATTTAGAGTGGTTCGACTTTCTCAACCAAAGTCTACGTCCACTACCTTAGCTATCCACACTAAGGATTTTCCACCAAATTCACTAATTTGTTCTTTCTTTTGAGGCTAAAGAGATAACCTTACAAACTCCCTCAAGAATATACCCTAATTCTTGAGAACACTCTTTCTCAAAGAGAAGATTACAAATTTGCAAACTTACAAGGAAAACCTCACAAGGTAATATGTTTGCACAACTTTAGAACAAGATAAGAACACTCAAAGATGATTACAAATGAGCACAAATAGTGTTCTTGAAAGAAAAATGTATATTGAAAGGAAATTTGGCTTGAATTGCACAAACTTGATGTTTGATGCTTTCTCTCTTGTTTAAATACTCCTTCAAATGATTCTGAATGTTGGGGATGGTTAGTGGAGTCAATAGAGCCGTTTAAGTGTGAAAACAATTAATTAAAGCAGTTGGGAGCGTTAGTGCATCGATGCATACCCATGCTGTATCGGTGCATCAGTGTAAAATTCAAATATTTTGACCGTTGGACCCTTAGTGCATCGGTGCACTAAGCGTGCATCGATACATAAAATGCATTCGATGTTTCAAAATATCTAGAGTGAATCGATGCATAAAATGCATTCAATGTTCAATTTAATCCATGGTGCATCGATGCATGGATTGGTGCATCGGTGCATCACTTTGAAAAATTGATTTTAGGCTTGATTTTGGTTCAAAATACTTTGTGAAAATTGTTTCAAAAATATATTAAGTATAAAACATAATTTTACACATTTAGTAAGGTTTAAATTTGATCTTGAAATACTTGGAGTAATATTTTGATATTCGAATAATTAAATCGAATATACTAAGAAAATCGTTTGTAAAATCTTAAAATTCGTTTAACTTAATTTGTTATATCGAAACATCAAAAATGTTTTCAACAATCTTCCCCTTTTTGATATAACAAAACATTTGTGTAATTTTAAGATTTTCTAAAATTTTGAAATCAATTTTGAAAAACTACTCCCCCTTATTATAACACTTAACACTCCTCCCCTTTAACACTTAATATTTCTCCCCCTTTTTGTTAAATCAAAAAGACTTTAAAAATGTTTTAAACAAGGTTTTGAAAAGCATAGCCAATTGATTTTAAATATATATATAGCTTAAGCTGCTAAGATCACAATCAAAAGAGAGATTAGCCATTAGTTCCATAATCAATATTCATAAACAAATGTGAAATGACATAATTGGTCATATATATCTAATGATGCAAAAATAAGAAAATTCAACCAAACCAAATATATATATATTAAGTTCAAAATCCAATCATCCAAACCATAACAAATTCAAGCATTTAACAATCCAAAATAAAAAATCCAGAAACATAAAAAACAATCCAAGTTTGAAATACTAAGAAAGCATGGAGAAACAGTCTAATCCATCAGAGGGTCGGGAGGAGGAAGATAATGAGCTCGAACTTCAAGAGTGAACGCGTCCATACGTTCACACATCTCCCGCTGA